TCCACACCCCTACAGCCTTCTGTCTTGCTAGCGACCTATGAACATCACTAACAAAGTCGAAGCAGTCCACAGAGCCAAACTGATTGGTGTAGACGACCTTATTTTGCGATTTGTAAATGCCACCGGCCGCGGCCTTGTGCTGAAACTGGCCGAACACGGCCCGCACAAGGTTGATTCTCTCATCTTGGTGAATCTGAGTCACTTCAGCTATCTTCTTCAGCTTCGATTTCTGAATCCCGAGTTTCACAAACTTTGCATGGGCAGCACCACAGGAACGGTATTGGCGGGGGAGGACCTCCGGTTCTCCCGCACCAAGGCTGTCCAGTTTCAAACCCTCATGTTTTTGGCTTGCTGGCCGGGCTGCACCCTGGGAACACACCTCTCCAAGACGCAGTACTGCAGCAAGTAAGGACATGGCGTGTGGGAGCCTTTATCTACTAGCACAAAAAAATCACAAAAATACAACATGTCAAAGTATAATGTCATTGCATATCTCATATCTGAATCTGAGAATCTGTAGAGTTGAAAACAAACTGCCTCCTACCGTGGGTTGCTGTGCGCCCATGCCCATCGCCATCGGCGTCGCTGCTTGTATGTTGGAGCCGCATTCACGAAACGAAACAACTCTTAAGTTCGCAGCATTTCCAACGCATCTGAGATCTTTGGGATGACAAGTGACACACAACAAACTGGAAGGAACATGGAAGGAAACCCATGAAGCCTGCCTTGTATTCAGTGTCTGAATTCTCCTGGTCACCATCCCCGAAATGGTTGGCCACCTTGCTCTTGAGACATCCGCTGACATTCTCCATGATGAAGGCCCTGCAAGCAAACGGGCAATTGCCCAGGCAAGCAGCGGGTGAGAACTAAGGAACCTTGACCAAATTAGGACAGGCGCGGCAAACATGCTTTCAACTTCACACGCCTGGGTTTCCGCCTGCGTACATGGCGTGATGCCTCCAAAAAGGGGACAATCTTGGCAACCTGGAACGCTGCCATCATCTGGATCATCCATGGTCCATGTGTAGTGATTTTTAACACATGAAAAAACACCGACTCACGAGTCATGGTTCATCATTCGTCACTGTCGTACACACACTGTACACTGGCATTATTTGTCATCAAAGAAACGTGCGGGTTCAGATCTGGGTCTTCGCAAAACATGTCAGCCACGTTCGGATGACCAAATCGTATGTTGCTTTCGGATGAGAACAGCTTGCACGTAAAGCCACAAACGTACAGGTCCTCTTGCTCCCACCCCTGCCGACAGAATTTGGGTGGTTTTCTGCAAAGCAAAACTACACTGCAAAGCCAAACTACAATGCCTGCACGCAGAACAACAAACGGCGTGCCTTCTCTCCAAAGGCAGGAAGAAGACCGACGTGCGCCTGCTTGACATAGCAATGTCCACCAGTCCTGCAAGATCCAATGCGCAGGTCAGATCCAAGAAAAAGTGGACTCTGACTCGACTCTAAGACTCTAAGCCTATGACTCTGACTCTATGGGTCTACGGTCTATGCATAGTTTATGATAAGTCTGATCTGACTCACCATCCCATCCTTTCTTCGCGCATGTCTGCATAGACACGTTCGATGTCGAAGTTCTTCATCAGCCAAGCACGCGTTGGGGCCTGTCGAGAATGTGGGGAGCTTGTTGTCAGCGTGTTGTGAGCAAATGAAGCATCGACATGCTGTCAAGACGCATGTCGTTCTGAAGCGCAGGCTTCCCTAATGTTCAAGGATCCTACCAATGTCTGCAACGCATGGATAGGCGCACCAGTACAGCTGCAGGCTGTTGATACAACCTTGCTGAGCGAAACAGCTGACGTGAAAGCAGCACGCTGACTCTTACAATTCGCAACCAATCTTGAAACCGCCCGAGCACACTGTTAAATTATTTGAATCCCTGAAATCCCCAGTCAAGATGCCAATGGATCCTGCAATGGAACCTGAAAGGTCGCAGGCGATGTCCCAACGGCCTCGAAGTTCAAATCTGCCCACCTCAAAGCCTTCCTCAGGTTATAATGAGCATGGAGCTAGAAGCCAGAAGTGCAACCCCAACAAAGCCCTAAAAGAGGCGGCTCTAGGCTAGGCTCTAAGTCTAAAACTCTAAGTTAAGGCCAAGGCTTTCCATTCTTTATGAGTCTGAGTCTGGTTTGCAAAAAGCTAGGCAACTATGATCAGTCACTTTTTGATTCTCTACCAGGGTTCGGTGGATCGATCTGGAACGCGCTCAGCCGCTGATACAATCTGGTCGGTGAACGTGAACGTGACCTGAGGTCTCCGATCATGATACAAATGACTCATGACTCATGACTAGTTAAAGACTTAGAACTTGGAGGCTATGACTCGGCTAGGACTGGAGTAAGAGATGGCCCGCCAGGAAATGCCAATTGAATCTTAACTAAAACATAACTTAACGAAATAACCGCGCAACTGCGCGCAATGAAGCACCCCATTCATGGAGTCGAGTGACCGCTTTGACTCCTCTGCATGGAAGGGTCGGCGATGGAGGGCCATGTTTGGAGTGATGTCTGCTGGACGCGCTCACTTGAGCAGTTGGCAAAATGCGCTGCTGGCGCAGCAGGCAAAGTACGCACAACAGTTCAACAGCGCAATCACACGTTCCCTCCATTTCCTAACCTCCGCGTTCAACCTGGTTACCAGGTCGCCCTGAATGCACCGGTAAAAATAACCAACATCCGGAATTCACCCAGTCTTCAACGCACGCAAAAGAATGTTCCCGGATTCCCGTCTGCAATTCTTCAAAACCCAGTCCGTACTACAAAAGAAGCCAACAGCACACCCACAGCTTCCTTTTAGAAATGAAATGACTCGGGCTAGAGGCCCGATATCAAATTACTTTGTCAGGGCAGTGCCCATGGGTTTGCAAAGCGTTTTACTAACCTCCTCAAGTCTACCTGAAGTTCAGATTCTACCAGAGGGGTTGCCCAGGGTTTGGAAGTCCACTCAAATTCTGCCAGGGGTGCTTGTAAGGCTATTGCAAGTCCATTCCAAGTCTGCCAGGGGGGGTTGCCAATGGTTTTGGATGTCCCTCAAACTTTGCCAGGGGGGTTTGCCAAGACTTTTGGATGTCCCTCAAACTTTGCCAGGGGGGTTTGCCAAGCGTTTTTGAAGCCAAAATCACTCTGCCGGGGGGGGGTTGCCGGGGGTTAAGGCACTTTTCTGCTTGATTTCTATAAAGCAATGTTAACTATACGGCGCCGCTACCAAGAAATACCTTCTTCTCTCTGAGGTTCCCCATGGCTCTCCTTTGCACCTCCTTCGTGCTGGTGCTTTTTTGGGGCGTCCTCTCCGCCGCGCAGACCAGCATGTTTCTGGGCGACCACCTTCGTAGGGCATTGGGTCCTTGACATCGGATTGACATGTTTCTGAAGGTCCAGTGGATGGCACCAGCTGTTTGGGAAACTGATCCAAGGGGCCATGTTCCTCGATTTCCCACTTCCATATATGATTTCTAGGGAGTGTAAGAGCAGCAACAGCTGAAGCTGAAGCAGATGTCTGCTGGAAAATAGTTCAAGCAGCAAACACCAGAGAGCCCAGAGGGCAGCGGTGCTTGGTGTTCTTCTGTTTGAACGGCCTTCTGGTCTCGGCCTTCACTCACACTGAAGGGTCCTTTCCTCCAGCTGGACCTTCAGGAACCGAAGTACTATCACTTGTACTATCACTTGTCATCCCCCTTCATGGCAGGCAGGCTGTCTTTTGCGCTGCCAAGCCAGCTCAGACTTCCGGTGTCCTTTCTTCGTTCGTTGCACCGTTCACAGCGACGCAAAATTGGAAGATGAGGAGCCAAGACATGTTGAGCTTCAGATCCCAGGATCGTGTGCTGAGAGAAGGTACGTGGGAGTGGGGATCCGCGAAAAGTATCCTGAACGAAGGTAGTTTGACCCCCGCTGACACCCACCTGGAACATACCCACACACCTGCTACCTCCCGGCATCTCGACTGTTGACTCTGAAATTGTTGAAGCCAACTCTTTCAGCCGCATGGGCAGCCAAGGCTTTTGGTGGGTGCAAGCGAGATGTCCCCCGTTTGGTTGCTTGGAGCGCTCGCAGTCTTTGCCTTTCAGTGCTGGTTGCTCCGTTGTTTCTTCCCAGACGCCTTTCGCCAGTCATCCCGTGAACGACGGAAGCTCACAGCGTAGCTTGATCACATGCAGCAGTGGTGCTGCGATCCTGAGCGTTGGTTGTTTTCTAAAATCGCTCGGATCCAGAGCAGTTTAGAGGTTTTCCCACAGATTACTGTATATAGTTGTGTGAAAATCTTTCGCGTTTGCTGCTAAACCCATTCAACCAGAGAACGGTGTGCTTGGGTATGTATGTCGTTTTCAACCGGATGTCCTTTGATGTTAATACCTAAAAAGCAACCAAAAAAATCACCGCAGCAAACCACGAAGCCGCAGAAATGAGTGTTTCGAGTTCTGCTGTCGCATTTGGTTGAAGATCCCCAGCCATGTGTCTTGGAGTGGAGGTTCTCCACTCTGGGTCGCTGGAACCTGGTCACTTGACCCGAAGACTCGGATCCCAAAGGAAGTGGAATCCTGCAACAGGTGGATTTTGGGATAACCTCAGTCCGCTCGACACATCGAAGAAGGATCTTCCCACCAGCTGGAGCCCAGACAGCATGGGCCGAATTTGCCTGAATGTACGACCTCCTTGCCTTGTGGATTTGGAAAAAGAAGGGATTCGAAGGGATTCCACGCAGCTCTGACGACCTTATATCACACCGCAGAAGAAATGCCGGATCGATGGAGCATCAATCCTCGGTTCGGAAGAAGGCGAGGTACATCGGTCCAAGGATCTTCGAAGCTAGAGAACATATCATTCCTCTCAGTCATGTGAATTCCAGGGGGCTCCTAGAGTTTGTATATATACCTCTTGGAAGCGTCATTGCTGGCCTGTTTGAACACCAGGCGAGGCCGAAAAAACCGTGCTTTTCTGGTGACCAGACGCCTGAACTTCCGAATGCCGGGTCTGTTTGATGGGCCGGTATGGGCCGGAGGAGAGGTGGATGACGGAAAATGCACAATGGATTAAAGTGATTCGTGATCTGGCAGCCTACATTATATATTTGTAATATTCTAATTATTCTATATAGATATATGTTTGCTAGGCGTTGTAGCTTCGGCAGCAAGATACAGAGGTAAGATGGTAATGGTAAGATAATTACATAATTGTATGTGTTTTATCTATATATTATACATATAATATTGGATTGTTGACCAGCTTTTTTTGGCAAACTCTGAATGAGTTCCGTGAGATTTGCTTTCAACACCTTTGACCTCCACAAACCTGTGAAAAACACTCAACAGACGGGGCGTCGAAGGGACGGTTCTTGAAGCTGTTCAAGACGGGTTTTGCCTCTTCAGATTCCGAACAAATCTTCGACATTTCACTTTTTAGCAGTCCTGGCGTTCCGGCTCAGAATTCGACACAAACCCTAAAAAAACAGAGAGGTCAGACGATTTCGCATGCTCTCAGGGAAGACCTAACAACTGCGAGCAGACTGACGACTCCACTGGGCCAATCATGGTACAGTCAGATGTAGATCTAAACTTTCTTTGGGGGAATTGGAGAATCAAAGAGACCAATTCTTCAACAGAAGCTCCGCGCTTCGGCGCGCGCGACGTCCGCTCGTGAGGACCGCTTTGATGGAGACCCTGCGTACACAAGCTGAGCTCGTACAGCGGCATGGCCTCTGCAGAGCTGCAACGACTTGGCAGGTGATTTGGAGTCTTCTTCGGGTGCCTTTGGCTGCTTATAAAAGAATATGGAATTCCAGTTGATCAGCAGAATTTGGGGCTTGGATTTCGGGTTTGTACCTCCTGGTGGCAAATACAGGACGTGTTATGGAATGGTATTGAGCGCTTCACAGGACTCACCACTCCATCGAACGGTTCATAGCACGTCCTGAGAGGTTCTAGGACCGTCCTGAGGATGTCCTGCTTTCGGCCCCAAAGATCTTTGGAAATGTGTCAGTATACATGTGGTCAGTGCGCACGTCAGAGCATATGTTGTTGGACATGTTGTTTGACATTGGCACATGAAATGGGTCATATGTGAGTCAGTCAGCAATTACATGCCAGTCAGTCAGCAACCTGTTTGGGCCAATGATGGGTTATGGGTAAAGGTGCCTTTGTCCATGCGGTCATATGTCAGGAGAATCAGTCAGCAAGCCTCGGTTCGAATCACCAGGGCTTCCCCAAGAACGGCTCGCTCCAAGCACGCACGGTGCCAAAAGTCGATGTGTTCCTTGGACCAAGAAGAGAACAGTCAATTCGGATCAAACTTCGAATGCTGCAGGACTTCCTTGTCGTTTGTGATTCATGCCAACACTTCGGACCGTTTTCTGTCCAGTCATCCGCGAATTATGGCTATTGTTTAAGTATCCCTTTATTTTGTAAGGGCTCCGCCCGGGTGCCGCCGACCCCTTTTCATCTCGAGGGTTTGGCGGTTGAACCTTGACAACTTCCTGGGATTCAACAGCGAGACTTGGATGGGCTTCACACCAATGCTGGCATTCAACCAGCTGCCGAGAAGAGGGCAAGGCTGCGGTGAGGCTCTGGGGAGCGTTTGAAGCCGAGCCAAAATGCCTAACGTTGCCTTTGGAAGCCCATAAGAAGAGAGGAGGCAGGCTTCGGACAGGCCACAGAGAGGCCGCCGAGAGGCTTTTGAAGCCGGTCCAAAATGCCTAACGTTGCCTTCGGAAGCCCATAAGAAGAGAGGAGGCAGGCTTCGGACAGGCCACAGAGAGGCCGCAAGAGGCCTCCCGGCTGCCGAGAAGCTTCGGACAGGCCACACAGAGACCGCAAGAGGCCGAAAAGCTTTTGAAGGCGGTCCAAAATGCCTAAACGTCGCCTTCGGAAGCCCATAAGAAGAGAGAAGGCAGGCTTCGGACAGGCCACAGAGAGGCCGCAACAGGCCGGCCAGCTGGCGAGGCCTCGGACAGGCCTTTGGAAGTGCTTGGAAGGGTTCTGCTAGGCTTGGCCAACTGCTGCATCCTGCGCCTTTGGAAGTGCTTGAAGGGTTCTGCTAGGCTTGGCCAACTGCTTCACCCTGCGGTGTCCCAGGCGCCTCCCCGCCTAGGCTTTGGCTATAGGCCGGGGTCGGCGGATATATAAGTTGTAGGTGGAATGTCCGCTGTTTCAACACAAGACCACAAAATACGGGTCTACCTGTAACAGTCGGCAAACAAGAACATCACCATTTGAGAGATGTCGACCTGCAACTGAACCATCATCATCCACTGGGCCCTGGGGCCAGAAGATATAGACAAAATTCATGATGTTTCGCCTATATATTATATACGCATCGCGGATAGACTCGGATAGACCCAAACAAGAGATGTTATCCAGGATATCCAGGAGTTACATGTCGGGGTGGTGTGGCTCGTGCCATCCAGTGAGTGGATGTGACAGGGGCATACAGGGACACCCTTCGTGAGTGCTGGAGTCATTCTTCTCTTGCAGTTTGGGGTATCAGGTTGGAGGCCATTGCTAGTAGGTATAAGGTCTGAGTCACTTCTTCTGCGGCCCAGAAGCCCAGCGGCCCATGTGGGCGAGGTTCCTGTGTCACTCATGGTCCTGCCCCGCGTGGAGCAAGGCGTTGGTCTCTTGGCAAAAAGGATGGGGTACCGATTCTAGACACCGCTCATGCGACTGCGGACGGTTCATGGCACGACCCCCCACACCACCCCAAGTGATCGGTCCATATGTCAGTCCCATGGATGTCATGTCTGGGGATTGGAAAACCATCCATAAATACTGCAATAGTCGTTCCGTTGGCCCGGCTTATCTCCCTTCCGATGTGCCGCGCGGGAAGTGGCAATACACAGAGAATCCAATAGATCATTCCAATAACCATTGGGGTGGTGCCAAGGGGGGTCAATGGGGCGGCATATATGGCAGTCCCATTTGTCGTGTCTGGGATAAAGCATTTCAAGAAATATCACCAACACCTTGACTTACATGCGCAACGTGTCGACATGTCAAGTGCAGAAACCGGTATTGGCATGAACACCTAATGAACGGTGTTTATTTCCCCGGTGAAAAAGAATTACTATATACAAAGCGGTTCTTCCTCGCTGATTTTCTAGAAATTCGAGCTATCCCCACCTGACCAAGTTCGCCTTAACAGGCCAAGTTTTTACATGCCGGTACACTGCGCAAGCAAAAGGCCAACTCAATGAGCTACAATTCCCTAAGCAAAGGCACCTCAAAGCATCAACTGGCACTAGTCAGAGTAGCGCGTGCCGGAAATCACACTAATCAAAGCCACCTAAAAACGGGCACGCCAAGCGCAAAAATCTCTTGCCATGCTTGTGCGCAACAAAGCAGCGTTTACAGCATTCCCAAGTTCTTCCAATCAAACATCTGCAAACCATCAAGCAACATTTGCAATCCATCACCATCATTCAAGGTTGGTCTGTCATTCTCAGCGCAACAGGTTTGTATTGGTGGGGGTATAGCATATATATATATATTATATAACTATATATATATATACTCGTGCCTGAGCTCTCACAAGCCACACCAAGGACGCCATTCAGGGAAATTCACGGTCTCGCGGTGCTTTTGATATGTTTTGATTCTCAGTGTGTCGTGGAAAAGTCATGTTGGGCCATCTGGGTCCGGCCAGTGGTGGGATGTGGGGCACTGACCTGTGACCGGCGACTTGACCCGGCACTGTGAGCGCAGCAGTGGGACCCACCAGGTGGAATCAAACATGACACCAAAGCGCTGGCAAGACACTGGATAAAGGGTTGGGGACACTAGTGGCAGCATGCCTGGGTCACATTCTGTGCTATGGGGCCAGTTTGATGTTGTCACGATTGATGCGTGTGTGTGTGTGTGTCATTGCCTGGTCTCTACTCTTTGTTAAGTGTTATGTTTGTTGTGGCGATGGTTGGTCTTACCATTATGGGTGTTGCGGTTGTGCTTTGTTTGGTCATTGTGATTGTCATTGTTTGGTGTTTTTGGTCGTGTTGTCAACCGTGTTTTCGCGCAAGTTAGGTGTTGACGTGGCATGTGTTCGCATGATGTCAACCTGTTATTCTTGGCAACTAGTAACAAAGGCATCGCTAGTAGTAGCTTCTTGCTACTAGTAGCGATGCCCTTGTTTCTAGTAGCCTCCTGGCTATATTGTTATCATGTGGGTGTGTACTAAAATAGGGAGACCTCTCAATTCGACCCCCTTGGAAGGTTCGGGAAATAGACCAGTCTACCCAGCCAGGGTCAGGTGGTCTCCCTCTTAAAGTACACACACTATGGGGCGATTCTCTTTCACAGTTTACATTAGCGCTCATCGCTTGGACGATTCCCTGAGCATTGTTGTTGCTTTTACTACTATTGTCAAATTGTCATGATGTTTGTTATTGTGTGCCTACTGTCGTGCTTGCCATCGTGTGTTGTCGGTTGTGGATGACGGCTTGGCAAGTTTTTTTCGTCATCGTTTGTGGGTTGTCCTTGCGACAGTGCATTGTCATGTTATGTTTGGTGTTGGTTTTGTTGTATATATGTCATTGTTTGCTTCTAGTGTTGTGTGTGTGTGCGCGTGCCATTGTGTGTTGGCAAGTGTTGTGTTCGGTCTTGTTAATGATGTTTGTCAAGTGGTTGCTGTTTGTGGTCCGCTTGCCATTGTGTGGCCATCTTTTTGTTATTATAGAACGTGTTTTTTGTTTGTGGTGTGTCATCGGCCGTTGGCAAATGTCTGGTGCCAGGATTGGGCCACTGAAGGCATTTGCACTCTTTGAGCTGCAGGGTTGTCTCCTCTAAACGTTAAACTAATACCCCAGTCTGGGCTTTAGGAAAGGCAGTCGTGTGCCAGAAATATCAGGGGCTGCCGGGTTTTGCGAGAAAACTGATTGGGTTTGGTCACCAAAAAGAGATGCCCCCTGTCGGGAGGGTCCCCATCATAGTCCTCATCATGATCTCATAGTTGATTTATGTAAATTCTCTGTCTCCGACCTAATAGCGATGGCCTCTACCCAAGAGCGATGGCCTCCATTGGTGCCTTTATTGTGATTGTACTTAAATATGTGTTGTAAATGGTTTGCAGTGAAGTTTCTCTCACCAGAACCCAGTGGTACGGGTAGCTTGCTGAGCACAGGTACTTTGCCACTATTTCCACGTCCATTGGGCTACCCGCTGGGCGCTTCTGACCGCCTTGCTGGCTACGTTGCAGCTTCTTTGGCGCGCACGGAGCTTCGACGAAGTGGCGCAGAACGGTGTGGAGACCTTGCTGTGGCGTGCAGCAACGTGGCAGGCACTAGAGTTATCGAACATTGGGTCGAGGTGAGTTTTGCACTGTAGTTGGCCTCAGCATAGAAGGCACCAACATTGGAATTTGTACAGCATGCCTCAACTGGGAAAACGGTGCCGTGCCATTCTGGTGGGTTGTTGCGTGGATGAGTTTTGGAAAGTTGCTGTCACAGATGATAGAAACCACACCTTTCAAAGAACGTTTTGTTTGTGTGGAACGTATTTGCAATTGAACAGATATAAAACACCTGGTTGTCCTTGAAAGTGTGAACCGAAGCTAGGCTAGGGCCAAATTGTTCAAGGGGAACGATACTATTTCGGAACTGAGGTCTATGGCCCCCTCTCCATCTTTCTGCTGGTCTACTTCTCAGGGTGCTGGTCACGTGCCTGCATGCCAGAATCCACATATGTTTATTCGTTATAGTTATTGTCGTTTTGGGAATTGCCAAACATCATTTCAAAGCAGAAGTCGGCCATCTAAATCCGCATGTTTTTTTCGGACCTTTTCTTGGGGGGTTCTTCGGAGGTTCACTTGTTAGGGCACCTTCAGGAAAACCAGCGGATCAACACGCCAGAGATATTGACGGGTTCCGTCCGACATCGAGGTGTGAACGGTTGATCACCTCGAAGTGCCGGTGCCATGAAATGGATACATATATGGACTAGAAATGGATTGGATTTGGGATTGTGTATCCACCCAGATCTGACCCGTCCAGTCCTCCAGTCCTACGAAAACGGGTTGATCAGACAGGAGAACAGGACGCATTGGTTCTTGAGAAAGCAACCTACAGACACTTGTCTTGTGACTGACAGTTTCTGAAAATGCCTCTCTCTTCAGAGATCATGTCGTATTCATTGGGAAGACAGGGAAATGCTTCCCCTGTTGTTCCTTGATCTTCATAGTATCTATCGCAGCATCTAAGGTTGCAAAGCAAGTCATTGTGGTTTGATGGCATTTGTGTGGATCAAACAAACCTGCCACTGAGAACCAGGACCATGCAGGCTGTCCCTGCTTTCGCATCAGAAGCAACCAATATGTTGGTTGTTTGGCATGAAAGTCTCTTCAGCAAATTGTGGTGTGTATACGAAATCGCTGTGAGGGCCAAGACCTGCAGCTTTGATTCGATCCATGTCGTACCAGTATGGCTTCCCATTTTTGTGCTTGCAAACGTTGTGTATAATGTGCTCGTGGTGTACACGTTGCCGGGTTTCACTTATCCCAGTCTAAACGCTGACCCGACGTCGAGATTTGTCTCACTTTTCTGGTTGTACATTGATGCTTATGGCCTATTGGGATACTGCGTCTATGCCATTCCCATCACCTGCTTTTGCATGCTGAAGATTGAGTCTCACAAAACCATGTTGGATCAGATGGCTTCGTTTGACTTGAGAAAGGCAACTTGTTCTCTGGAGACAGACCGACTGATGATCAGGCGACAAGTTGTTGAACTCTTCGACGAGGCTTTAGAGTATCCCTTGTCCGTTTCATTCGAAGCAGAAGAATCATCGGTGTCAGACACAGAGGCGAACTCGGATGTGGCAGCCCTGATATCCCCTGAGGATCTTCATAGCTTTCGTCATGTCACCAGCTACCCAACGGAGGAACAAATCATCGATGAGTTCAACGCCTACGTCCGAGGGCCACTGCGTGAAAGCGTGGTGCGCTCTTTGGGGCGGGAAGACCAGATCCCCTTGAAGCTGTGCATGTTTGCATTTTGGCCCTCTTCTGCTGGCGGGGCGGCCTGGGCACTGGGGTGCGAAGGTCGTAGCCATTGTCAGGATGCAGCTAGCAATCTGCAGTTCGATTCTGTGGCATGGTATTTGATCACACAAGCGAGCTTTGGATGCAGTTATTGGGTCATTTGGGTCAATCCGATCCTACTCCGACAACAGTACAGCACAAGACAAAACAGCAAGACATGGTCCCTCTCTTCGATTCCAGCTCCATCCTCTAATCGAATCCTGGAAAACTATCACCAATACTAGTACATATGATTCGCGTATTTTTTTGCAGGGCGTCTCTACCACTAAGTCATCAGGCTGAGAGCCCCGAACGCCTCCGAACGCCTCAGTGGCTATAAGAGTACACCCTGCCTCCGCCTCCAAGTACCTGGGGGACCCCGATTTCATTGGGCCTTGTCCCGTTCTAAGGGTCATATACTTGAAGTCGGGTCCGGAAAGGCGACTGGTCAGCCCTAAGGCAGGTCTGGCGGGCTCACTTTTGGACGAACAGTTGACGCCAGAAAGCCGGATATAGAATTAGTTATCCTCCCTGGCCCCCCTGAAAAAAAGCAATGAACGACACAGATGCATCTGGCCTGCTTTTAAAGAAGTTGATCAGTTGATTGCAACAAAAATCATAAAAGTTCAGCAGGCGTTATGATGGTGGTAATTGGGCGAAGACCCCACTCCACGCCACTCCACCCCACTCCAATCCACTCCATTCCACTGCACTGCACTGCACTCAACTCCACCACTGGGAGACTGAGCGGTGGGTGACAACCTTTGAAGTTCCCTGCCAGACCCACTGATCCTCAAATTCAAGCCAGCAAATAAATATTTGATGTCTTAAATAAAAACTTTGATCTACCACGTTGCGACGGTAGCAGTCTGGTAGACCCGTCGCTAGCGGTAGTGAGACACTGGTTCAAAAGACTGTCCTTCGCCCCAAGTGCATGCGACCGTCACTACTTTGAGGGTGCTCCAGCGAATTCAAAACCCCACAAGACCAATCGCTAGCGGTGGTGATTGGTGTAAGGACTTGCAACACTTGCCACTTGGTAGATCAGTGTTTGGCTTAGTGACAGCCAATATTTCCCCAAACAGTGTGGACACACTTTGGGGGTCTTGCGGTAATAGAAAAGCAGCTGATGCTTAGATCGCTGAAGCGCGCGGGCGTGGGCGGCTAATTCGCTGCTATTTACAGTACATTGCATTTCGACTGCGCAGGCTCGCAAAATCCCGCAGCGGGCGCTTGTAGCGACTGCGCTCTCGTTGTGGTGCCGTGCGGGTTTTCGCACACGGGGGTCACTTTTTGTGGCAGGCGCAAGGGACATCTCGTGTTTTGGTACTCCAAAATCGACTTTTCGTGACAGGTGCAAGGGATCGGAGCGGCTTACTTCGAACTGCAAATTTCGTGGCAGGTAGAGCACTTGGGAACCTCGAAGCGAAGATTTTGTGGCAGTCACAGCATTTTGGGAGCCTCGAAGTGCAGATTTCGTGGCAGGTACAGCGCTTTGTGGACCTCGAACTGCAGATTTTGTGGCAGGCGTGCCACTTTGTGAACCTCGATGTGCAGATTTCGTGGCAGGCGCAGCACTTTGTGCTCTCAGATGCTCACCTCTCACTCTCACTCACACTCACACTCACACTCACACACGCTCACACTCAGACTCACACTCACTCGCTCTCGCTCTCGCTCTCACTCTCACACTCACACCCACTCTCAGTCTTTCACTCACACTGACATTCACACTCTCACTCTCACTCACACCCACTCTCTCACTCTCTCACTCTCACTGACACTCACTCCTACTCATTCTCACCCGCACTCACTCTCACTATCTCTCACACTCACACTCACATGCGCACTCACACTCACACACTCACTGTCTCACGCTCACTCTCACTCTCATTCATTCTCACTCGCACTCACTCACGATCTCTCACTCACACTCACACGCACCCACTCACTCTCACACACTTTCACTCTCACTCTCACCCTCTCACTCTCACACTCGCACTCACTTTCACTCTCACCCTCTCACTCTCTCACACTCACTCACAGTCGCACTCACTCTCACTCTCACTCTCACTCTCACTCTCACTCACTCTCACTCTCACTCACACTCTCACTCTCACTCACACACACTCACTCTCACTCACGATCACTCTCACTCACACTCACGCTCACACTCACCCTCACTCACACACTCACTCACTCATGACTCACTCACTCACTCACTCACTCGCTCACTCACTCAGTCACTCACTCACTCACTCACTCATTCACTCACTCACTCACTCACTGAATCAATCAATCAACCAATCACCCACTCACTCGCACTCTCACTCTCAGTCACACTCACACTCAGTCGCACTCACACACACACTGACACTCACACTCACAGTCGCACTCACCACCGCCGCCACCATCACCATGCACGATCTCCACCTTCATCACCACCATCACCTCTCTGGACCCCAATCCGTCTAGATCTTTAGACTTTCTGCTTATAGACCTCACACACACACACACTGTTTGGGGCCTTTTGCCGGGATGATTTTCTTGAACCTTTGACAAGTGGAGATCCCCTTGAGACCATGATGCAAACCTGCCATCAACCCTCCCACAAAACTCATTTGTAGTAAAATAAGGGGTTGTGCACCACTACTAAACTTGGTAGACCTTTGGAATCCTTTAGATAATCAGTGGCTTGAGCCTAACATTTTTCTCTGGGCATAGAACCTGAATCTGAAGGAAGTCCCCGTTAAACACATGGGTATACCCTGATTACTATTGTAGCAATTGGAAACCATATTGCATCCGACTCAGTGTTTGAGGTTCCAACTAACATGAGCAAAATTTGTCAGCTATCAACCTATCAACTTCTATAAAAGCAACCCAGGCATACACTATACAATAAAGATTTTAAATAGTACTAGATGTACCCCTCCTCGACACAAAGCTTCGACCACCTCGCTGGCTGGATTTGCAGTTTTCCATCCCAAAGAAATTCCTTGTCCATGCATGGACATGGGCGATCTGAGGATCAACTCGGTCGTATTTTGGCCGTTGCTCTCTCTCCTCACCTTGCCCTTGGTTTTGCGGACGAACCGCCTGGTCTCTCGGTCGTGAGGTCTTCGAAACGTACAGCGTTTGGAGGGCGAAACGTGTGTCATCTCCATTCCAGCCAGCCAATACATGAGGTGATATGTTGAGATGCTTGTTCGCCACTCATCAGCAGATATGGTGATCCCAAGCCAAACACTAGCCAGTTGCATGAAAACATTTCAATTCTGCAAAAAAAAACACCGTCGCACATGTAATGTAGGTCGGACAAAAAACGAAGCAAGTCTTGGATGGTTTATAGACACCCCTGGCTCTTGACCAAAGGTTATTTTCCCTCCAAGAACCACCCGAATTCCGTGGTGCTGGTGTTTGAAACGTGAATCAATTCCTGAAACTAATGTTGTTTGCTCTCCTGGCTAAATCGATGGTCAGCTTTTGCGGGGGTCCTTGGGGGAAGTGGGCCATTTTGGACCCAAGTGATTGATGATTGCGCAAAGAGGATGTTCTATCCTGTTCTGTCGTGGGGATTGATGTCTTCAGCACATTTCAGCACCTCAACTTGATTGGGTTTGCCACTTTTTCAGCACCTGGGATCGAGTTTCATCTCACTGGGTTGGTCACCCCAACCAGTCCTCTCCATGAACAGATTGCTGTAAGTTGAAGTTGTGTGATGATTGCACCGCTCAAACGGACCGTTAAACTCTGCTTCGTGATTTCTCCACGAAACAGAGTCTGATAGTCCGTGGTCGCTTCATGGAAGAAAGATCGGCACAGATGGTACACGAAAATCTCCGCCGGCCTTCGAACATCCGGCCTTCACGCAGCATCGCTTCGTCCCGGTCAGATGCCATGGAAGACTCTCCGTTCTTTCCGTGATTTCCCGTGTTCGGCGTCCATTCAAGAGGCGCTGCTGGTCCAGGTTGGTTTTCAGGTTGGTCTCTTCCAAGGATGTGTTCAGGTTTTTTGATCCAAGGACATCCCTGAAGTTACGAGGTGAAGTTCCGGGACATGTCAGGTTCCGAGAACGATTCCCGGATGTGTTTTCATGCCCTCAGAACAGGATATTAAGCCCTGTTTGCGTCGGAACCGTCAATCCAGGAAGGTCAAAAACCTGATCATAGCTGGCTGGGAAGGTGAGCAAGTCGAAGCGAACAAGACAGATATCCATGTTGTGTGTGTATAGAACCTTGCTTGGCTTTGCCTGTTAAGAAAATTGCACTCGGGATCATCTAGAAAGCAAGGTCGTCCATGTGGTTTGGGCCTCTCAACTGAAGAATCAGAAGAGGACAACTGAAGAATCTGCTGCTCCAGCCAAGGTCATGGACATGGTCACCAGCCCACGCTTGCAGTTTCTGGGACAGCTAAGAAACAACCTTTTGCACTGTATACTTGCCCATGCATATAATGTTTTAATTATTAGAATTAAGTTGTTATATAATAGTATAATTGATAAATCAAGTCTTTAAGTCCAGGTTCCAGAAAACTATTCCCACCCCTTGCAGTTTCAAGAACGTTCCGTTCCATTTTCGTGTTCAACTCCGATCAGATCGTGAAAAGTCCATTGTTCAGTCCGGTATTTGAGGACTATTTGGGAGACTCCTTGGTGTTCAGTGGTTCTTTATCCCAGTTAGACGTCCATGCTTCGCAAAGGTTCACTGTCTGCCTTGCTTCCACCTCACTGGTCCTTTTCCTTTGGTGGGGCCTTTTCTCAGCCTCTCAGACTGCGACGTTCCTCGGGTTCAAGGGTAAGCGTTCGTCGGATGGCACCGGGCCTGCTGCAGGCTAAGCCGCTAAGCAAGATGAAGCAAGACAACAGGTTGACCTGATTTTGGAGGGGTGCAGATCATGTTTTCTACGCTGGAAGACCCAAACCAAAGGTGAAACTCTCCTAGTTGATGTCGAAGCCATGGGAGTGCTGAGATCGCATGAATCTGTACTTGTCTCTGTAATAGTCCAAGAACTTTTTCGAAACATGGGTTGGAGTAAACCTCGAACCGCACATGTGTGGTTGGAGGCCGCCATATGCACCAAGGACTTTGGTGGGTGCAAGCGAGGTCTCACCGCTTTGGTTGTCGGGTGTGTTCGCAGAATTTGCCTTTCAATGCTGGATGCTGTGGTATTTCTTCCTGCGAAACCAGGAAGATCATACAAGTTCACGGCACCTTGCAAGAGGATGGTGAAAAAGTGAGCTGTTTTCGGGGGCTTGCAGGGTGTTAAGTAGACAATTCTTGGACCTATACCAGCCTTTTGTTTTGCTTTGAAATGCCGAAAAAATCTTTGCCTTCCAAACAGGAGCCTCTTGTTTGGGAAAAATAATCCGAAGAAAAGGACCTGGAACTGGGTGTCAGGAGGTGCCCGGAGGTGCTTCTGTGTTTCAGACGGTCCGCGCGAGGTCTCTATAGTATGGAGTCCGTCCTACCTCGACACTCCAAGCGAGACCGGTTGTTGGGAGTCACTCCCTTTTCGATGAAGCTGGAGGTGTTTCAACGACTTGTTGGGGTTTGTGCCTGTTCCACTTTCAAGGAGGATCAGCTGCGGGGTGCTCCAATCGCTGTGTGACCCTTCGAACCAACTTCAATGAGAATGCTGATTTGTAGGGATCCAGTCGTACCTTCTCAGGTTTGGTTCTGTGTTCGACGCTGTTATGTAGGTTCGGAGGGTCCAAGTACCTTCTGAGCTTCGGTACTGGATCCCTATAGGGATGATGATATGAGCCATGCCTGGTACAGGCGATGGAATGCTGGAAAACATCCTCATGTTTTTTTTTCTGCTAAGCAGGGTATGTGGGTACCATGCTTTCGGGTATGAGCCGTCACACCGTCTCATCCACGGTGGAGTCGAGATCGTCAGGAGCGCCCAGTAGGCAGTTCACTCCCATGGCGAGTCAACGGCAGCGACAGTCCGAGCTCCGAAGATCGATCCCCAAAGGAAAGAAGAAGAAACATCTCCAACAGCTGGGCATGCATTTTCTGATGAAGCAACGGCAACATCTTGTATTTGGCAAAAACAGCAGCTGCATGGCAAGTCTAAAAGAGACCTCGGTGGAACTCTGCGCGACTGGCCGATATTCAAAACATTTCAAAACGGCGATGCTCTCACGTGAGAACACTTGACATGACACGAATGGGGACGAACTGGAAGACCGAGAAACACAGGGAAACGCAGTACACTAGACTCACTAGAGGCAGACTGACGGCTTTTTGGCCAAGGAAAACCCTCTCAGCCATTGTGGATCTAAGCATTAGAAGCTCTTGGTGTGCATCAAGAAGGACAACAAACGATTGAAGGTGTTTTAGGAGACCCTATACACAAGCATCCTAATATAGCTTCTTTATTGAGTTCCTTTGTGCGCATTCAAACATGTCAAGTCCGCCGAGTCTCACCGCGAAGCCGATGGAGACTCTTGACACACAAGCTGAGCTCGTGCAGCGGCATGGCCTTTGTCGAGCGGCGACCAGTTGGCAGGTGATTTGGAATCTTCTTCAGGTGCCTTAGGCTGCTTATAAAAGAATATGGAAGCAGTTGATCAGCAGCATTTGGGGCTTGGATTTCGGGTTTGTACCTCCTGGTGGCAAATGCAGGACTTGTACGGACTTGTATTTGAGCCAAAAGATTTGGAAGCCATTTGCAGAGTCGGGGATTGGTTTTTGGGGTTCGAAGCTCGGACGTGTCTTCTTCGGATGTGCCTGCCTGCGCGAAACAGTGCCCAAAACTCAAAGCTTGCATAGAGCCTGGTAAGACTCTCTCCAATTAGCCTTAAAACCCACAGTTTTTCTGTGAATGTTCCTGTTGAACAAATAGTTGTTTGCTTTGATTAGGGCATCCCTAGATGCGGATCTTCAAGTACATGCTCTAGTGGCTCTATCGCTTTGGAGTTTTGATGCAAGTACTGACAGTGATGACTATGGCAAATCTAAAAGATGAACTGCTGCAGAGTTCACCTGCCACTGGATGAACAATTGCAAGCCACATGTTTCGAGGGCAGTGGAGATGGTGCAGCACTGCGGATCGTGCAGAAGGTGGATGTGTTCCTTGGGTCGGGGTCCAGTCCTGTTTGGATGCTGCAGGATTTGGTAGATTCAAGAGGTTTTTTTCAGGAGAACCTCCACTTTCTTGGCAGTTCAGCTTGGAGTTTTTGAGGTTTATTTGCCACTCGTGGTCCTGCCCTGCATGGAGGAAGATGTTGGCCCCTTGCGTCCAAGGTTCCCGCGCGACAGGACGGCCGAAGGGATGTGTTGGAGAGTCTGAATCATCATATCAGAACTATCACGAATCCCAGACCATGAGACTTGGGACTGGAAGAGTTACCTACATCAGGGATCAGTTACCAGGGCATATGTATGTGCAATGACGCGACACGTAGGAATTATAGATTTGCCAATCAGTTTGGGGTTGACTTCAGGGTCATGACATATAGGCAGTGACGTAGGATGCGACTCTGAGAGTCGTCTGACTCTGGGAGTCGTGTTTCTAAACAAGGTCATCCGCATACCTTGGAGACTTCGAGACTCTTGATGCAGGCTTTGAGGGTCCAATGATGGTCTGTGGATGGAAACTCACCTCCCAGGTCGGTCGAGAGACCTGGAGCCCAAACCGTTGGGGGGCCCAAACCCGTCGTCCCGGGGGGTCCGGAGTTGACCCAAACTGGCCGAAACGGCGGAAACGACCCAACGGGGTCGAACCGAGCTCCAAACAGGTCTGAAGCGGAGCAACCTGAACAGATATCTTGACCTAATGTAGACTCTTGATTAACCCCCCCAATTTGAATTGGACATCCTCTTCTACATTAAGGCCGGAGGTCACTTGCTCGAGATCGAGATCGGCTCAGGTCCTTTGCCACTATTTCCACGTCCATTGGGCTACCCGCTGGGCACGTCCATTGGGCTACCCGCTGGGCACTCCTGACCGCCTCCCTGGGTATGTCACAGCTTTTTTGGCACGCGCGGAGCTTGAACGAAGTGGCACAGAACGGCCTGAAGACCTTGCTGTGGCGTGGAGCAGCTGTGGCGTGCACTAGCGGCTAGGGTCGGTCACTCCGGGTGACCCATACCAGCCCCGTAAAAAAGGGATAGGGGAGGAATCCATTACCCTTGTGGGTCCTGGTAGATGACACAAAGCTAATTTAACTGCGCATGAAGATTGGTGGGGATGTAAAACAGCTTGATTAGTTAGAAGTCCCTCAAGTGGGAAGGCTATCCAAGACTCTGAAGTCGATCCATGGGCTGTGTTGCATGGACTTGTTGGACACATGTTTGGAATTTGGAGTAGAAACACATGAAACACAACCTTTAAAGTTCCCTCTCAAAGGGGGACTTGATTTTTGAAGTCCGTGCCTTGTTCCTTCTTTGAGAGAGAGAACTGGCCGCTAGTAGCCGCTAGGCTAGGAGTTTACCATTGGCAGTGCATGACTAACAGCCATTGGAGTGTTTGAGACACCCCACCCTTCCCTGCTTCTCGGCTTCTCAATAAGAGGACAGAAAGCGTGGCATTCGGGATTTGCGCGGCGCATTCCAATAATCTTCGTCATTATAGCTTTAGCTAGTTGGAGTTGGAGCATGTTGGAGCTGTAGCTTTAATTAGCAAGAGGTGGGTCATGGCAGTTTGATTGAACCTTCAGCATCCCTTCGCCCACACCTGGCATCGGGTATGGATGCTTTTTTCGTGAGACCTGCCGTACGACAGCGACTCGTGTTCAGGAGGCGCCGAAAACCACGTGGCTCGCCAAAGTTCGACCAAATGAGGTCACTTTACCTTTGTTCATTTGGCTGCTGATCTATTTCTGTGGCTTTGGGTCACTCGGCGTCGTCATGTTTGCCAGGCGTTTTGGGTCGGCTTCTCAGGGACTCGCCGACTCGCCGGTGAGACTCCCCAAGACCCTCCGTCGGCGTCTCCTCAGGTGCTTCGACTTGATCTGGCACACACCCACCCCAAGCACCGAACCAAAGTTCGGACGGGGGACGGCCCCTCAGCCCGAACGATGGAGTTTCTATATAGCTTCAAGTTCGGTCCGATGACTCCGAACTCGGTCGGGTGGGTCTTCAGCCGAGCAGATCCGACTCCGCCCGACCGGGTGATGGTTCTTCGGCTCCGACCGTCGGGTCGGTGGAGGAGTCGCGCGCAGCTACTATGCATGTCGCTTAGCCCCGGAAGGCCCCGGAAGTAGTCAGAACATGAAGGGATAAATCAATTATTACAATCCGATCGCATCGAGAGCTCCTGTTTCAACACTGTATTGTGCTTCGCAAACCGGCGATGCCTTAGGGGTTGTTTTCGCTGTCCCTCTTCTTGTTGCTGTTGTTGGTCATTGGTCTTGCTGCCTTGCGCGCATCGGCGTGCATGCGCCCGCGCCACAAAGACACCTTCCACATGATTTTGGCGCGCGTGTGTGCGTGCGCAGGCGATGAAACTCTGCAAAGACGGTATATGCTAGGTAGTTGTTTTTGGGTGCCGCCCCGCCAGGCCGTCGCGGACTGCGTACAGAAACGTGTTGTCCGAAGGTATCCTTCCGATGGATTGGGTGCGTTGTGGTGGGATAATAATGACGTCAATGTTACAGGCTTTTTGTGATTTCTATCGAAGCGTCTAAGGTTGCAAAGCAAGTCATTGTGGTTTGATGGCATTTGTGTGGACCAATCCAACCTGCCGCTGATGACCAAGACAATGCAGGCGATCCCTGCTTTCGCATCAGAAGCAACCAATATGTTGGTTGTTTGGCATGAAAGTCTATTCAGCAAATTGTGGTGTGTATACGAAATCGCTGTGAGGGCCAAGACCTGCAGCTTTGATTCGATCCATGTCGTACCAGTATGGCTTCCAATCTTTGTGCTGATGAGCATTGTAGTCAATGTGTTTCCGGCGTTTGGGCTGAGTCTGGGTTTTGCATATCCCAGTCTAAGCACTGACCCGGCCACACGGTTTGTCTCACTTTTTCTATACCTTGGTAGCTTCGATATTCGTTCCTACTTCTATGGCGCCTCCTTTGCCATTCCCATCACCTACTTTTGCATGCTGAAGATTGAGTCTCACAAAACCATGTTGGATCAGATGGCTTCGTTTGACTTGAGAAAGGCGACTTGTTCTCTGGAGACAGACCGACTGATGATCAGGCGACAAGTTGTTGAACTCTTCGACGAGGCTTTAGAGTATCCCTTGTCCGTTTCATTCGAAGCAGAAGAATCATCGGTGTCAGACACAGAGGTGAACTCGGATGTGGCAGCCCTGATATCCCCTGAGGATCTTCATAGCTTTCGTCATGTCACCAGCTACCCAACGGAGGAACAAATCATCGATGAGTTCAACGCCTACGTCCGAGGGCCCCTGCGTGAAAGCGTGGTGCGCTCTTTGGGGCGGGAAGACCAGATCCCCTTGAAGCTGTGCGTTTGTGCATTTTGGCCCTCTTCTGCTGGAGGGCTGGCCTGGGCGCTGGGGTGCGAAGGCCATAGCAATTGTCAGGATGCAGCTAGCAATCTGAAGTTCGATTCTGTTGCATTGTATTTGATCACACAAGCGAGCTTTGGATGCAGTTACTGGGTCGATCCAATTTCAAGCCTGCCAGCAAGACATTGTCACTATATAGGATTCGGTTCCCTACTATCTTGTGCAAACAAACATTTGTTACTTTCCATTTCTGGGGAACAGGATCACCATTTAGGGCTGCAAGCAGGTGGTCTTTGAGAGCGTCTCTTCATTTGAGTGGTTCAAACGGGAAATCCTGCCCTAAGTCTGGACCACACTTTTTTTGAGTCATAGAACAGCTCAAAGTCAAAGTGAACAAATAATAGGGAACGTGTTACCTGCAAGTATCCGTAGAATCTGTGTATCATTCTATCTCTCAAGCAGATGCAGGTTCGGTGGCTTTTGCGCGGAAAATGGACCTTGATTCCTGCAGCCACTCTTTCACAGCTTCATCCCCCGCCACATTTCATAGGTGGTCCACTTGCTCTTATTCCTGTTATGGGGAACTATCTGAATACATCGGACATCCCGCGCCCTCCGAGGATCATCGCGGTCGTGATCTGGACTTTGTGCTCTCTCCTCACCTTGCCCTTGGTGCTCCGAGCCAACCGCCTTGTTCCTGGGCACGCATCAACCACAACCATGTCATATGTGTTTGTTCCTGACCAAATAGTTTGGCAACGTTCAATAGGGTCCAGGTATCATGAGATGTACTTTCCTTGCTGTCTTCGGGACTCATAGATGTTTAAAGCCTCAACTCGGCCAACCAGGACCCCGACACTTAGACATGCCACAGCCGTCGGAACGTCTTTGGGCTGGTGCATAATTTATTTTCATGGAACACGAGCAGTAGTTCAGGTGGCAACTATTATATGCATGTATGTTTTCCTTCGGGAGCTTCCTTAGTGTGTTCGGGATATCCCAGCAGACAAAACCCTTTGCGACATGTCCATTTCCACGCACCACATAGCAGACTCGCCGAGTCCACGTGGTCTCGGTCTTTTCCAGTAATGTAGAACCTTAGAAAGTAACCCTTTGACAATCAAGAGTCTACGTTAGATGAATCCACATGATCAGTAACCGGTGGCTTCCGAATCATCGGCCCGTTCAGCGCAGCCCAGGTCTTGAACATGGTCACTGGCCCGCGGTTGCAGTGTCTTAGAAAGGCAAGAAGCAACTTTTGCCACTGGTTACTTCCCCATGTTTGGTCATTTTTGATCAAGTCCAGAAGACTGTAATTCCGTGGAGTACCAGAGTACGGAGGGTGTCAAACACACAACACCTGCATGTCCTGACAGAAATCTGAGGGTAAAAAGGGTAAGTGTGGTAATAACTTCCCCTGAGGGTTGGTCTCCAAGACCAAGGTTCGCTGCAGGGCTCTTTTGTACCACATTGATCCTTCTGCTTTGGTGGAATCTGTTCGCCTCCTTTCTCTCAGCGACGTTCCTTGGTTCGGCCCGAAAAACCAACCGTTCAGGCAGGTCCTTGGTTGTAGCAGCTCGTGCTGTCGTGGCTGGCCTCACCAGAGATACTCTCCCCGAACTAACATGGAACCTGAACATGGACCTTTGGAAGAGTATTTTCCTCTACAACCCAGTTGTTTTCAGGTTCCATGTTAATCTTCCCGAGTGTACTCTCCCCGGAACTAACATGGTTACGTGGACCCCCTGTTGGTAGAGGATTTTTCTCTGGCCGAGCTCGGTGGATGCCATCCACGTTGGCCCAGGAGTGTAGTTCCTAAGGAGTGTAGTTCGTTCCAAGCTTGTGCCATCCAGTGATCAAGCTTTGTTTGGGATTCTGGGAGTTTTCTTGGGTCTCAAGCTTTCCAGGCTTGGACTGATGGAACTGGGCTCATCTATCCATGGAGACCATGATGGTCTTCCAGACCCCAACTGAATGAACCCACACGAACGGACTTCCGCAAGAAGTTGGGTTTGTCTCAGACTAGGGCCACTCCTACCCAACATAGCATAGTTCTTCCAAGAAACTGGAATACCAATACATCCCCAAGGGATTACTTAGTAACAGTATGTGCAGCCGAACGGATGTATATAACTTAATTATCTCAGAGCTATCCTTTATAGAACTCTACAGTGAGTCACTTGGAGGAAAACCAGTGGCAAAAAAGTGGCATCCTGTGAGTCGAGCCTTGAAGGAGAAATGGTGCACCACCTTGAACACCGCAAGCTGTGGCATGATCAAGGTCTTTGTTTATATCTAAACAACTAAAAACTGCTGTGGCATATTGACCAAAACTGCTGCTGTTTAGATATTCAACCCTTGGTGCAGATATTTTCAGCAGTAGGGTTGAATTGTTCATCGCCTTGAGCCCCCATCAAAGCGGTGGACACTTGAGTTTGGAGCCCTGGGGTGGCTGTCCTGAATGCCTCAAGATGCCTCAAGTGTTGATTGGATTGTGTTGCAGGCAGATCCATCGGAAAAACGTTCTGCACTGGCCTGCAGCTTTAAACTTCCAATGTTCCAACTCCCTCTTTGTCACATGCTGCGTGATGCCGCATACATGCCCCTTCGCACCTAAGGATATTAGTGGGTGCTAGCGAGGTCTCACCGCTGTGGTTGTCGGGTGCATTGGCAGGATTTGTCTTTCAATGCTGGATGCTGTGGTACTTCTTCCTGCGTAGCCAGGAAGATCATACAAGTTCACGGCACCTTGCAAGAGGATGGTGAAAAAGTGGGTGGCTGATTGGGGCCGTTTTGCGGGGTGCAGGGTGGACTAGGAAATCCTTGGAGGGGATCTAGACCAGCAGATTGCTACAGTTAGAGTTTCCGCGGAATCAAATTCACAGAGATGTCTTGAGGTACCCAGCTCTTCTGCACCTTTCTGGGTAGCATGTATTGTATAAATAGTGACATCTATGTGAATGGTATCCCAGGGCCTTCAAGGGGTGGTAGACAAATCACGGGTCTTTGGGGCTATAAATAGACACCCAGAACGAGTCGGGTCCTGGTACAACACATATTAAACTCCCTGATTCCGTTTTTCAGACCCACGAGCCCAAACCGCCCCGAACCCGGGACCTGCCCGGTGTCCGGTCTCCCTCCCGTTTGGGCGCGCGTTTCCGCGCGCGCGCGCGCGTAGGTCTCCGAGGGCAAGCCGAGGCACGATGGCCGCTTCGAGCGGAGGAGGGTGAGTGACATTGAAAAGAACATCTCCCAAGAGTCACATTCGACGGGGTGCTGGTTCCGAACGGAGGAAGGATAGGGGTCCCCAGAACATATCAATAAACCCCTGGATGGGACAAAGGAAACCACCCCGTCTTGGAACATCCATGTCAATAAACTCTATGAAATCACAGGGGTCAACCCCTCCATGTTATTTATTCACACGCGGTCGACGAAGTCGAACGGCACATGGTGGCTCAGAGGTCGAGCGGCCATGCGTCAACAAGCGACACCCCAAACCTCAACGAGGTCGCGCAAGATCCCTCGCGTATCGAATCGGCCAGGAGGATGTAAACCGAAGGAGCTCGTCAGAAACTCTGGTGGCCAAGTCACCACCCCAACCCAAACAAACACTGGGCATCCTCCCGAAGACTCGAAGGTGCGGACGTGCCTTCAGGCCAGTGTCCAAGCTCAGCTGAAAGTGCGTTTGCACAAGACGAAAAAGATCACTAAAAATAGCAAGCTCAGTAGCAAGAGTAGGTCGAACAAGACCGCCACATGGCACTTCAGCTGAGTCCGAAAATAAATCACCCGCTTGGTGTTCGGTGAGAGGCATGCGATAGCCATCTAAGGAAAACCCAATCACCAACTCAAGAAGAGAAACATGACACTTACTAGGGGAAGTAAGATCGATCGCAATAAGCCATGAAGCCAAGTCACCGACCATGCGAGCAGAAAACTTGCCTAACCTAATTGAGTGGCTCAAGACTTCAGGGCCAAACTGGGCAGCCAACGAGGCATCAGTCGCCTGAAAGTGGACTCCCAACTCATTCAGAGTTTCTCCTTCCGGGTCATGGCTCTCAGAGGTCAAGGTCAAGCTTGTCTGAGCTAGCTCAACCAAGAAGCTAAGTTGAGACCGAGTGGCATTGCGAGCACTTTCCTCCGCAGAACAGAAGGTGTTGTAGATCTGCAGAACTCCGTAGGACGTAGCTGATTCTGCCACTTGGCCCATGGCTATCATGTCCACGAAGTCGTTGCCGAGTCGGCTCCAGTCCTCACGGGGAGAAACACAATCCTCCTCCTTAAGGTGCGAGGAAATCTTCTGCAAGGTGATGCGGCCACTATCAATCTGCTTGACAGTGACCAAACTTGTTGCCAGAGACCTTGGTGTTTCCATCTGGAGGGAACATCATGGTGCTTCTGCAGGTACCTCAAGTTGTCCAACGCATATTGGCTGTCCGTAAAAATGGTAGCCGAAGCGCCCGTGCGAAGGACCCACAAGAAGGCCGCGTGCACCGCCATAGCCTCCGCAATGTCGATGGATTGAATCAAACCAGGAACTGGTCCTTGTGCCAAGGTGCGTTTAGGCTCCATCGTGGTGACGGCCCAAGCTGCTAGCGCTCTGGTTGGCGTTCTAGGTGAAGAACAGCTGCCATCCGTGAAAATAAAGGTGTGGTCACCTCAAACCTTCAAATCCAAGAACTCTTCCCGACGGTCAGGCAAGCTCAACAAAGCGTGCCAGTATGCCCACTGGTGAGGGTTAGCAGGATGTAGTCCATGATGCGTGAATGCAACTGATCTCTGTGGCCAAAGACGAACCTCTGCAGGATACCTCTTTCTGACGTGCTGGTAGTCCGGACAATGAAGGGCTCCATGCGTGACAGTATCAGGCACTTGGCAAGTGTGACATAGCCCCGAATGCTCCCCGTCAAAGTGCGCCTTGGCCTGCGACGTGAAGAAGGTACCATCTTGGACGGTGGCCCAGAGTTCAGCGGCATCCATCTGAGGAAAAACCAATGATCGAAAAGAAGCCTCCCAATGAATAGAACTGAATCCAGCAAAATCTTTGCGATGTCGTACTTTGCGGCAGACCATCTGCCGCCAGCAGTATTGCATAAGAAGCTGCAAGCTTTCCAGCGAAAGGGTCCAAAAATTGAGTCGGAGGTGCTGAATCCAAAGATGCAGCTGAGCATCGATATGCCAGTCCAGGTAGCCACAAGACACTGCACAACCGCATGCAGCGGTCCTTGACTGCTAAACCCAGGATTATAGCTGGACTGCAACCAAAGCTCCAGAACCAAGGGAAACTGATGCACCATGCGCCAAAAGGTGGAAAGGACCTGCCATAGTTGTTGAAACTCAGGATCCATGAGAGGCGATTGCATGAGAGACCATCGGATATGTGGACTGGCAAAAGAAAATTGTACCAGCATAGACCCCAAACAGCTTCAAAACGATTCCTTTAGACCAATATCAGTCAAGAATCGATTTCTTGGTACGCCCTACTTTCACCCCAAGAGCAAAATGCTTCATCAATGAATTTTTGTCGGCATTGACATCGCTATTTGTTCGGCCACACTCCTCTCCAGTAAGCCCGGCCACAGAGACCAGCCACAGAGTTCAGGGGCGCGGCCAAGAGAAGGACAACAGGAGGGCAAGGCCTGGACACAGAGCCCGGCACGCCAAGAGGACAAGAGGAGGACAAGAGGAGGAGGACAAGAGGAGGACAAGGCCCAGCCACAAGCCCAGCCACAGAGCCCAGCCACAGAGCCCAGCCACAGAGTTGACAGAGTCCAGGGGCGCGGCCAAGAGGAGGACAAGAGGAGGACAAGGCCTGGACACAGAGCCCAGCCACAGAGGACAAGAGGACAAGGCCCAGCCACAGAGCCCAGCCACAGAGTTGACAGAGTTCAGGGGCCCCGCGCCAAGAGGAGGACAAGAGGAGGACAAGGCCCGGCCACAGAGCCCAGCCACAGAGCCCAGCCACAGAGTTGACAGAGTTCAGGGGCGCGGCCAAGAGGAGGACAAGAGGAGGACAAGGCCCGGCCACAGAGCCCAGCCACAGAGCCCAGCCACAGAGTTGACAGAGTTCAGGGCGCGGTAAAGAGGAGGACAAGAGGAGGACAAGGCCCAGCCACAGAGCCCAGCCACAGAGCTCAGCCACAGAGTTCAGGGGCGCGGCCAGTGAGTGTGGCCAGCTCTTTTCTTTCTATGATAGAACCCCAACAGTAAACTGCTTGGGGAACAATGGCGCCTTTTTCATCACCGGGGGGGTGAGATTTTATAGAGAATTGACATGGGGATAAAAGACACCAGATGTGTGTTGGGTGTTTCTTCAAGTGCCTTTTGTATACCTCTCAGACTAGAAGAATATTGTATTTGGGCCACCAACGGTCCGTCCGTTCATGGCAGGGTTTTGTTTTTGTTGTTGCTCAGGTGAACAACCTGACTTGCACAAAAGAGAACGTCCCTAGGGTTCCAAGTACCTTCTAAGAAGGTGTTTGGGGTGGGTTTAGAGGGTCCAAATACCTTCTGAGAAGGTATTTGGAGCCCTAGGGCATATTCTTTGACGGATTGAAGACACCGTCCTCGGAAGCCAAGTTTGATGTGAACACCCCGCACGACCTAGTGACCTTCGATTCGCTGCAGAATTCTCCTAGGGAGTTTGGAATCTGTCCGTCCTCAAGCTTTAAGGATTACGGATTATCAGGCTGGGTAAGGATTACGGACTACTGGGAGATAACCTGCAGAGACTGGCCAAAGCTCCGCCTGAAATTGCCAAAACTCCGGTGCAAAGAAGGAATGTCTTAGCTGGATGCAACGGGTGTGTTCTTGGTTCTTTTTGTTGCAATGCCCAATGTCACCGGTCGCGGTTGAAGATGTTGAAGATATTCTTCGCTTTCTTTGGAACCTTGGGGTTCGCATCTCGTATTCTCGTCACATACCCAGTTTCAAACCGTGTCATCCTTCCATGCAGGCATTTGTTTGGAAACTATGTATATGTAGCATACTAGTTACAGTACTAGTTTGGAAAACTAGAGCATACTATGAAAATCTTTGGATACATCTATTTATATATATATATTTATTTAGCAGACGGAAGTCTCTCAGAGAGGCTTGAAATACTCCAGACCACCCAGACCGTTTGACCTATGGGACACGGGGGTGCTCTGAAGACCCAGTGGCCCAGCGTGGTGCCTGGAGAGCCCAGTCAATTAATAAGTGGTCATGATGTGATGAGCTGAATGGTCATGGATTTTTCATCAACGCACAAGTGATCCCAAATGGAAACCTGCTCTAATAAAGCTTTATGCATAAATCATGTTTGATAAAATATCATATGTGATCCCAAATGGTCAATACATCAAGTTTGTCGAGCCAAGATGGATTATGACTGGCCATGTGGATCATGGTCGAAACCAGAAACCTGAGTGACTGAGAGCAGGATCCATGGGACCCTCCCTCCAACGTCGGAAGTCCATGGCCCATCCATGGCCTTTGGATGATTCCCAAATCCAAATACTATGGGAGACCACCAGTTCGATTAAAACATAAGTATTTACGTATAGAAATGCAGTTAGAATATAGACGATTTACATCCACTGATTTTACCCTATGTTATGTACCAAAGAGGCACTGGCCATCCACTTCCGGCAGTGGGAGGGTCTTGTCTTCGTGCTCTTGGCTCTGAGCCGTGGTGACACCAGTGAGCAAACCTGAAAAGATCAGCAATCCAATCCGAAGAGGACAGCCAATCCGTTGCAGAGTGATGGAATGCCCTACAGCCTACAGTAAATAGATGGGCACTAAGGGAATCCCCTTGACATACTTTACTACTCTAATTTGCGAGCACGCGTACGAACGCCGCGCAGCTGTTTCTGCTCGCACGAGCGAGGTCGCGGGTCAGTCACGCTGGTGAGACGGTGAAACGGCCTAGTGAAGCTGAGAAGCTACTTGCACTACTCCTAGCCACTCACTTGAGCCAAAAGTATTGGCCCTTGAGCCAAAAACAGTTCACGCACAAGTGAAACACACACATAAACACGTTTACGGGCAAGGCTACTTAGGCTCACAATCGCCCCTCAGATGGGTTCTGCGGCCGTGGGATCCATCTCATCCCCAAGCCTTGCCCGCGCAGAGGATGCGAACCGCAAACCTCCGCCGCAAGGCAAGCCCTGGCTCCCTTCGAGCTCTGGCTTGCGCTCCTCCGACGGGTTCAGTCCCCTTCCGTCGGCGCACTCTGCTTTCCGAAGACCCTCCTGCGAGGCTCTTCTTCCGCCACACGCGTCCCGTCAAAGACGACAGCTTCCTTCCAAAGCCGCTCGAAGTTCTCGGTGTACTGCTGGTACACCTCATGCCCACAACTTCCTGTCAAGAGGACACCAGCTTCGGCATTGGAACGGGACGCCGTAGTCCAGTTGCAAGATCCAATGATCAACTGGAACTGGCCATCCTTCGAGATCGCGAAGGTTTTGGAATGCTGAATTCCACGCTGACCTTTTCCGATCCTCGAAGTGTCTCTGTTGTCGGCGGAGTACACCGCCGCCAGGTGCGACCCAGAGACTACGCGCACGCGAACTCCTCCACGAACCAGCTGCTGCAAACTCTGAAATTGCAGCTTGGTGCGCGTTCCATGACTCTGGCCCTTGTCCACCACCAGCCGGGCTGATCCGCCCAACACTAGAAGGCCCTCTACCAAATCTGGTTGGTCTAGCGTATAGGCTGTGGCGATGACTTCTCCGCCCTTTAGCGTTTGCAAGGCTGAGAGGATGGCCTCCTGCGACTCCTTGTTGATCAAGAGCTGCGCGTTCAGCTCCTGGTCTTGAGAGCCGCGACCGCCGCGCGAAAGCGCAACGCCGGTCCACGGTGACACATCCTCCAAAGCCAGCCTTGGCTTATTTTCACGCTCTTTGCGCACGGCGAACTCAGGCGTCTGGCCTTCCTCTGGCTCTCGCAGCTGTTGGCCCTGATTTTCGCTGGACCCTGGCTGGGCTTCCGAACGTAGGCCTTTGGCCTTCTCCACAAGGCCTTGGAAGCAAGCCGAAAGGCCAAGCGATTCTACTGATCGCCCCTCAGTTGCGGCTTTTCCCCTGGCCAGGGCCGTTGACGCCGCGCTAGCCTCCGCACTTTGCGGCCCAACCAGCTTTTTGTGCGCAGCCAAAGCGACTTCCACGTGGTCGCAGGTGCCAGTGCGCAGAAACTCTCTGCAAGCGCACCCTGGGGCTCTCCCTGCGATCCTGACTCGATGAACTCCTCGAGTCCCTTTCACTTCCCACGTGGAGACGTTTCCGTCAAACTGAACCAAGCGTGGGGTCGCGTTTCCATGAGCCATGTGCATCATCACGTTTGCGACCTTCCTGGAGACCCACCAAAACACCAGCCCGACGATTGCAAATCGAGCTGTCGAGAACACCGTCTCGATGAAGGAAGCTAAGCCAACTCCTCGCCGCCCTCGGCGATCACTACCTGGAAGGCTTCCGACCCGGTCTCCACGATCTCTTCCATCTCGAGCTGGACCCTGCGGACCACCGGCGCTAAGAACGCGGCAAGGACCAAAGTGGCCTTGCTGACGAAGCTGAACCCATTGCCGTTCAAGGCGTGCGCTCGCCGGTTCCGAGCCCTCCTTGACAAGGCCCACCCCTGACGCTTGGTCTTCTTCCGCAGTCTCTTCTTCCTGGTCGCGCGAAGTCCACGAACCGTAGACTTCACCGCAGACCGGGTCGCGCGAAGCCTGCGAACCGCAGGCTTCACCGCCGACCCTCCTGAGCGGATTCGCTTCCGCTTCTTGTGACTTTTCTTGTGCTTTATGCCAGCACGCTTCTTCTTGACCCGTCTCTGTGATTGGGCCAAGAACTTCTGGATCTCTTCCGTCAGCTGCTGTGACGGTTTCGGGTGGTGTCCGTCGTCGGACGACCCCTCATCCGGCTCTTCCCGGATGGCAGAGCACTTGTAGCATCTGTTGCGGAAGCATAAGTTCCCTGACCAACAGCGGCTACACCACCAGCTGTCAGGCCGTTGCAAGACCTGACTGAGGACTGTCTCAGTCCGAAGCCGCTTGGCCTCCCTCCTAGAGTCCGGGCTTCTGCGCCGAGGAGGTCCGCTCTTGGCGTACCTGGCCATAGACTCCCAGCGCTCGCCGCAATGCTCTCCTTTGATCCAGCCCTCGCAACGGACCAGTTTTGGTCCGTTGACCGTCTTGCAGGCTCCGCAAACCCAGCTGCCTTCCTCGTAGGGAAGATCATCAAGGCCGTCGTCCGGCGGACGGGGGGGAGCGTTGGCCCTGGAGTCATCGGGCTCCTCATTGGCGAGTCTGCTTGCAGCGGCCTCTGCGGCCAGCGACTTCCTGTGCTCCTCCGCTCTCATCCTGCTCCGCGCTTGTTTTTTCAAGACCTTCCGGCTCACGTCAGTGGACCCTTGGGCAACTGCACGGAGCCCGGCGTCGAGTCGCGTATCCGACTCTGCGGCGCCGACGATCCTTGCTCGCGGAGTCTCATGAGCGAGCTCCAGGCGCTCTGCTGCTACGGGCAGTGCACGAGTCACCGCCTCTCCATAGCGCCCACTCTCTGTGTCACCCACAGGAAGTCCTGAACGCTTCCTGGTGACTGCAGCTGTTGTCGTCGCTGAGGCGATCATCCGAAGACTGCCTTCAAGCTTGGCGGCTCCTCCTTCCGTTGGCCGCTCTTCCTGCTTAGCCATCAGCTGGCTGAGGCCGCCTACGGCACCTTCCTGGTACCGAAGCTCATCCGCGGCAGCACCCCCCAGCAGTGACTCGACAAGCCGCGCCGTCCGAGTTCGGCCTTCCTTACTCCAGATGGCTTGCGGCTCCTCCTTGGACATTTCGCCCTTCATACGATCAGGCCGTTCTGCGCGACCGGGGTCCGAAGACAGACCACCAGTCCGCGTCAGAGAGGCTACTACGGCCTGCTTGGCTTCCTGCACTTCTGCCTCCGACTTCACCGAAGGCCCTGCGCTAGAGGAAGCTGCTGAAGGCTCTGCCACCTCCTCCTTGACCGGGTTGGCCGCAGCAGCAAGGGCCGGCTGCGTAGGTGCCTCGCGCTCAGGTTGCGGAGGCGCAGCCTTGGCCTGCTGGCGCTGCTGTTCTTCATAGTAAGCCTCCATCTTGAACATTTCCTCGATGTGCTGCTCACTGAGCAGGTGATCCTCATCAACGGGGCATCCACCCCTGACACCCTTCCGCGTCTTGCACAGCAAGCAGTACCCTTCTCTCTGCCGTAGCTCCTTTGGGAGGTGCGCCCACCAAAAATTCGGCGGCTCACCATGATACCCTTTAGGGATTTTAGCCGCTGGCCTCCTTTTGACGGGAGACGCGGTTGGCGCCGCACCTTGCTCTGGCGGGCTGACCTCATCCTTGACGGGAGACACCGCAGGCGCCGGATCGCGGCCCGGAGGGCTGGACTCAACGGCCGCGGGCGCGGCCGGCTCCTCAGGGTCTTCCTTGACGCCGCGTCCGGGCTGCGAAGGCGCAGCACCGGACCGCTGGCGCCCCTCAGCTTCATCTTCCGAGGACGACTCATCGGTGTCCCCAGTAGGCAGCTCGATGGGCACCAGGCCATCCTGGCGCGTCCAAAGAAGATCGCCCTCCTTGCCGGTCTCGCCATCAAACATGGAGATGCGGTCAAAACACCGCGGTGGAACCTCGCTCGTGAGGATGACTCCGTCTACCCCTGTCCGCATGTCCACCTTTCCTTCTTTGAGCCGTCCCACAGTCGTGATGACGACTGCGTCGGTCCCAGATCGGACCCCTGTGTGCTTCCCGGGTTTGTCCAGAGCATCTTTGCTCCAGTGCACGAACAAACGGCCTTCCCCACGCTGGGCCCCGAACCGAACGGCGCGCGACCCCAAAAACCGACCCAAAACCAGGGGACCCCCCTAGACCAAACCCAAAGAAGGTCCCGCACCCTAGGGCGAACCCAACCCTCGGGCCGCTGGTGATGACTGGGATGGTTATGGTCTGAAACCTTGGGGTCGTGCTTCCCTTTCGTCCCTAGTGCTTCGGCTTGGACTCCCAAGGCCTCCAAGGCATCCCGAGCCGGCTGTCCTACCGTGACCGGGGCGTCTCGCATTGCACGCCGCACTTCTTCTTCGTGCTCCGCGTCGGTTCGAAAGCTCCCATCAACGACCCGGCCAGTCCGGATCGTAAGATCATCGACATAGGCCACCCATTCACGAGTGTACCGGTTTTTACTGCCGCGGCCCGGCCCGAAAGCGCGATCGACGACATAGCAAAAGTCATCCGGGCCGTTGACAGGTCCGAAGGTCAAACAGACCGGCAGGAACTTGCCCGATCTGGCGACGATGGCCAACACTTCCATGGCCCTTCTGGTGTTCTGGATCTGGTTAAACCCAGTCACTGCGTCCACAAAGGAAAACCAGATGGACCCAGCACACTGCGCCAGCACATCGCTAGCTTTCCTGCAGTAGTAGGTGCTCCGCAGCACCCGGGCGTTTACTCGCCTGTAGTCGACCACCAACCGTCTTTTACGATGCCGCTTGTGCGTTGGTGCCTCCTTGGTGGGGAAAGGAGGACTGCCCCACGGAGACGAGCCTCTAATGAGCTGCCCCCTCTGGACCTCAGCCTCTAACTGCTCATCAACCCACGCTGCGCTCTCCCCTTTCAGCGAATGCGGCTGCAAAGAGACCGGAGGCCCCGTAGGAACGCAGTCGTGCGCCACGCCCCGGACAGTCGTGCGCGGCG